TCCACCCCCTCCCGAGACCTGCGCTCCTATTGGATAAAGGGAATTAGGCTTCACCCAATCAGAGAGGAGTTCTCCAAGGATGGTGGGGCCAGGGCTGAGCGCTGCGTTCTGATTGGTCAGAATCCCCCCCAAATTATCATCTCCCGGGGGACCACGACCCCCGGCTCCCGGTGCCGGAGTAGGGTGCGAGGTCCAGGGCGGTCCTGAGATCGGGGATGTGGGGGAAGTCCTGAGCTCAGGGGTGTGCGTGGTGCAGGGGGGTCCTGGGATCGGGGGGTGCTGAGGGGGGGGCCAGGGGTCGGGGGCTAGAGGGTGCAGGAGGGGGTCCTGAGCTGGGAGGGGGGTGTTACTGGGCACCGCTCAGCTCCCAGTCCCACGGGGACCCCAAATTGCTCCAGACCCAGTCACCGCAGACCCCCGACGGCTCTGGGGTGGGGGGGCAGTCAGGTCTCTCTCCAGGACCCCCACTGATGGATCTGCTCCCCCAGCAGTGCCCGAGGAGTGTGTGGGATCCTGGGGGTCCCACCCCCCCGGCCCTGCGACCCTCGGCCGGGATGGAAGTGCCGATCCTGAGCAGAGCCTGGAGGGGGATGAAGCGGAGGATGGAGGAGCAGAGGAGTGCCAATTAACTTCAAATTAGCTCCGGCTAATCAGCAGGAGCGAGTCCCGTCCCCCGTGGAACTGGGGCATCGATCGGCTGCAGCCGCGGTGGGAGCGCCTTTAACCCTTTCCCAGCCCTGATCCCCTTTGTGCTGCTGGGGGGGCGGGTCTGCTCTGGGGCCCTCCTTTGCCCTCCCAGCCCGGGGTCCCACGCCTCAAACCCTGCGGGACAGGGACTCACACCTCGGTGGCCCCAGTGCCACTCACTGGGCATGTGGTGCCACCTTTCCTGGGCCCGGAGAGTCACTGGTGTCCGTGTCCCACTCAGTGGCCGTGTCCCTGTCAGTGTCCACGTCCCTGTCGCTGTTTGTGTCCCTGTCGGTGTCTGTGTCCCCTCCAGTGTCCGTGTCCCTTCAGTGTCCGTGTCCCTGTCGGTGTCCGTGTTCCCACTGGTGTCTGTCCCCGCAGGTGGCTGTTTCCCAGTTGTTGTCCGTGTCCCCACCGGTGGCTGTTTCCTCTCTGGAGCCGATGTCCCTGTTGGTGC